TTTTTTGGTTTTTCTCCGGTACCGGGAACCGAACTCACAACCTTGCGCTTGCCAGGCAGGCGCTTTTGCCGCTGAGCTAAATCCCCAGCCCCGCTGATGGTATTTTGATTGGAATTGTGTTGAACTTATGTAACAGTTTTGAGAGTCTTGCCATTTTGACAATATTAGTTCTACCTATCCAGGAACAGGGGATAGCTTTCCATTCTTTGACGTCCTCTTCGATCTCTTTTTTCAAAGTCCTATAGTTTGACTTAGCTGTGGTGAGAGAGGAACTTCTTATATTGCTGGTGGAAATGTAAACTAGTATATGCACTATTGAAGTCAACATGTATATTTCTCAAAGAATTTGAAATTTCATTGGACCCAGCTGTTCCCCTTGTAATTATCTTCCCCAAACAGCTAATGACATCATACTACACATGCACACCCATGTTTTTAGCAGCACAATTCATAATGGTTAAATCCTGGAAGCAGCCTGTATGTCCGTCAACAGATGAGTGGATTAAAAACATATGCTATCTATAGATAATGGAGTACTACTCCACTATAAAGAAGGATAAATTTGAGATATCTGTAGGAAAATGGATGCACCTGAAAAATACAGTGTTAAGGAAAGCAAGACATATAAGCCTAAATACCGTGTGAAGTCTCATTTGAGTAGGGCAAAGTACAAAGAGCAAAACAAAGGACTGATGGAAGGAAACAAAGAGGAACAACTTTTGCTCTTTGTCTAGGAGTTTTTAAGGGGTTTAGAAGGGCTGTTGTGTCAGCAATAGAATCTCTGCCCTACAGGGGACCTATGTACTTTTCAGGTCTAATCTATGCACTGTTCACGCAGTGTCTATGCAGGGCACAAGCGTCCTGGAGCCAGTGGCCACTGAGGATGCTCCAGGGGGTCCCAGACACACAAGAACACCTGGCAGATATTTGTGTGAGGTCTGTGGAGGTTGGAACTTAGCAGACTTCCTTTTGGGGCTGCTGTCCTCACTGTCTAATAGATCCCTAACTCCTGTCTCACTAGTTCCTATTACATTCCTCCCTCTGAAGAAGTGACACTACCTGCTGTTAGGGAAAAGGGACAATGAATGCTCTAGCCCGCTTCAAGCTGTACAGGGGCAATGGGACGAGAAGGGGTTAGCAGCCAGGGGCACCCTCCAGAGGCTTGTCTAGTGGCCCATGATAGAAGTCAGGTGGCATGTCCATGGCGGGCCCCATCTGCAGGACCATCTAAAGTTGAACAAGTGCAGGACAGGGCTGTGTCCCACAGCTGGGAGGCTTTGATTTGAATTGGATCGCCCTGCCAGCTTGAACTACCGGCGGTGCAGGTACGACTATCTGAAAAGATGGGTGCCGCTGTGGCTGCCAAAATGCCAAAGGCATTATGATGTTCAACATACTCTGCATAAATCAGCTGCCTCTGAGTATATGATGTTTCAAAGAAATTCAGGAATATAAACACATTTCTTTGAATTTAATGAAATAAGTTTGTTGAGTATTGTAAGAATTTTTAAATTGGCATGAATAGTATCAACTAATATTTATGGGCAGTAATTATTCAAATTCAAGCAACTAATTAGATTTGGCCCATTTATAGAGTTCTTATTAATTTTATTAGCCCAAAGACCCATAAAGGTAATTAGATCCATTGGTATCACCAGTGGTACAGGCTGCCCAATGGAACAAACCTGCATGGACTGCCAGTGGGTCAAGCTGGTGGGAACATGTTGATAAGACTCTCGGTGAGAGGAAAGACAGCAAACAAGGTGACTGAGGACACAGGGTCTGACAGTGTACAGGGTAGCAGGAGCATCGACTGGTGTGAAGAGTCCCATAAGGATCCAGGCCACATCCCTAGGGATTTATTTTTTATTTTATTTATTTATTTTTTGTCTTTTTGAGACAGGGTCTCGTTATGCAGTTCAGGCTGGCCTTGAGCTCACTTTGTAACCCAGGCTGGTCTTGAACTTGCAGTGATCCTCCTGACTCAGCCTCCTGACTCAGCCTCCCGAGTGCTGGGATTACAGGCATGCACCACCACGCCTGGTACTCTTAGGGATGTAAAGAGGGAGAATGAACTGGGATCCCTTCAGAGACCTTCTGAACCTTAACTGGTTGAGAGACAGTTCTAGGGAGGAGTTCAGTTTCGAGGTGGATTTAGACATGGGGAAGGTGGTTAAAGACTTGGACATTAGGGAGGGCGCTAACAACAGTGTGTCT